GTTAACCTGTGACATGAAAAAGTAAACAGACCAGTGTATTTGGGGAAAATACACGAGCTTACAATCAAATGATATTTTTTATCGAATTCCAAAAATTATCGATTTGAAAAGTAACACAGCATAACAATATTACATGCAACTTCCTTTCTAAGAAAAAACAAAAAGTTTAAACTTTAAAACGTAGCAGAAAATAGAGCGCCAACATACCTTTCATCGTGCTCGAAATCCGCCATCTTGAAGAAAATATCCAAAATAATGCATTGCGGTCGTAGTGCGATCACCGCCTGTTTGTACTCCATGTTACTAGTATACATGAAACATGATAAAGGCTAACTATTCCTGATCGTCGATACGACGTCACGGCACTTCGAATCGAAAATTCTCACACTCAAATCGCTTTATTCTCCGAAATAATTCGCCAGCATGTACAACAAATGCCGTTCTTCGAAAACACGGATGTACTTCGGCGAGATGTACAAGTTTTGGACCATATTTTAACAATGGAAATCAAAACCCATTTTATATTGAACTTGCCCAGGCCGAAAATTACTGCGGCGAACGTCTGCGCAACCAGGCCTCCTTTACCGTTAGATTTACAGGGGGGGGGGCAAATATTTCCCGTAACAGCCAGCCAATCGCAACCATGACAGCGACTGCTTACATTATTTGAAATTTGATATTCAAAATAAAAACTCCTTCGATCGGATATGTATAAAACTCGAGATGTTGTCGAAGAAAAGAAAACAAAACGATGGAGATTGTAGGAATTTAAGGAAGAAGAAATATACAGCGGCTCTTTTTTGGAAAGCATGGTAGAATATGATACTTTAATTCGAAATATGGTCGTTAATATATTAGTGGCATCCTTCCCCCCTGTAAATCTCAACGCTAAGGAGGCCTGGTTGCGCAGACGTTCGCCGTTGTAATTTTCGGCCTGGGAAAGTTCAACATAAAATGGGTTTTGATTTCCATTGTTAAAATATGGTCCAAAACTTGTACATCTCGCCGAAGTACCTCCGTATTTTCGAAGAACGGTATCTGTTGTGCATGCTGGCGAATTATTTTGGAGAATAAAGCAATTTGAATGTGAGAATTTTCGATTCGAAGTGCCGTGCCGTCGTATCGACGATCAGGAATAGTTAGCCTTTATCATGTTTTGATGTATACTAGTAACATCGAGTACAAAGTCTCGGAAAATATTAGTCCAACAAAGGAGGAATAAAAGGAGAACACACACTATCAAATAGGCAAGTAAATTTCATTTTAAAATTTATAGTTTACGACATATTTTTACTATAATATACAATTAATATAATATAATATAAATTTATACTGTAAGTCTATATTGACCCTTTCGAGATTGGGCCGCCTGTGATTACACCAACAAGTGATACTTTTGACAGATTAATTAATGTTTATAAAAATAATTACAAAAGGAATTTATAAAAGTTTAAATGTAGCACAATAAAAAAATTTCAATAAGAATAAGTTTCTTGCATGCATGTTAAACTAGTGTTTATATATACTATAAATATTCAAGTTTCAAAATATCGATTTAGTAAGAACTCTTTTAATTTGATTTTAAATGTTGCTAATGGGAGTGTTTTCAACTCATTGTCTAAACTATTCCATAACCCAACAGCCCTATATCGAAAACTTCTTTGTCCTGTTGTGGTTGAAAATAGGGGAATATGTAGTGCTTCATTGTTTCTTGTGGCGCGATTGTTTAGTTCCTTACGTTTAAGAAATAGGTCGCACAGATATGTTGGAGCGAGACTATTTATACATTTGTAGATCATGACCAAATCTTTGAACAACAAATGCTCTTTAACAGGGAGCCAACCAATATCTTTAAGGATTGGTGTAATATGATCAAATTTTTTCCCATTAGCTATAATTCTGCAACGCGAAATTTTGGACGGCTTGTAGTTTCTTAATATTTGAAGAACTCGTATTTGACCAAAGTGTTGAACAGTAATATAATTTGCCCATAACTACCGCGCAGATGATGTAAATCAGCGTCTTTTGATCAAAACAATGTTTGACACGATTAATTTGACACAGTTTAGTCATGCACTCTGATGAGAGCTGGGTTATATGTTCGTTATATGTCAAGTTGCGGTCCAGGATTATTCCAAGGTCGCTTATGGAAGTGACAGGAACGATTGTCTTATTTAAAAAATTCAAAAACATATCATCTGATAGTAAATTTAGTAACTGTCGCGTTTCAACTAACAGAAACTTGGTTTTCTCGTGATTAATCAATAATGAATTTTTGCAACACCATTCGGCTACAAGGCGAAGATCAGTCTCAAGTTTATGTTTGGCGTCTGACACTTCTTTGACAGAGAATGACAGAGATATCTTGGAATCGTCAACAAACGAGTTCAGATCACATGATTGCGTCACTGTTGGAAGGTCGTTTGTATATATGCAGAAGAGCAATGGTGACAAAACAGCCCCCTGCGGTACACCGTGGGTAATAGGGAGAGCTGCAGACAAAGATGAACCAATGCGGACTTTTTGAAAACGTCTGGTTAGATAGCTTTCAAATCATTTAACTGTTTCCTGGGATACTCCAATAGCACTTAGTTTTTTTAATAAGATTGAATGACTGATACTATCAAAGGCTTTTGAGAGGTCAATTAAAATAACAACAGATAGTTTCTTATTGTCCATTGCATCCAATAGATGATCGGTAATTAATAAGTTTAAAGTTTCAGTAGAGTGCTGTTTTTTGTTGCCGCTTTGCTGTACACTAAGTCGTTTGTTACGTGTTAAATAGGAATTAAATTGGTTGAGGACAGCTCTCTCACAAATTTTTGAAACAGTATTTAGGAGGGAAAGAGGGCGATTATTTGAAGCAACTTCGTGATCACCGTCTTTTAATACGGGAATAACTTCGGCTAGTTTCGTATCATCTGGGAACGTTGATGTGGCGAAGGAGCAATTGATAATGTTGGTAATTGGACCAAGAACAACAGGAAGGAAATCTTTTAAAACACTCATACTAACTTTGTCCGGTCCTGGTGTTTTGTTTGAAGGCATAGACATGGTAATTCGTTTAATATACGTACACGAAGCGTTAAATGAAACATTTCATGCGTGGTCTGTGCAGGTGATATTGCAGGAAAGGAGCTTGAAATTGGTCCGTTAAGATTGTCCAGGGCTACTTGAGCTGCAGCGTTTGCAGTTTTTTCTCCAACAGCGATAAAAAATTGGTTGAATTCATTTGCAATCTGTTCCGAATCTTTACTATAACATTTTCTTTCTTTGCTGGGAATGCAACGATTGATAATTTTCCATAAAGATGTTGTATTGTTTTTATGGGCTAATACTTCGCCGCGAACATATTCTTTCTCTGCGTTCTTTAGAGCTATTTTGACTGATTGTCTCGCGTTTTTATACGTTGTCCAATCTCCGACATCACGTGAAAATTTGAATTGCCTGTGAAGTTGATCCCTGTGTGCCATCAAATCCTTTATATTTTGAGGGATATAGGGGCATGGACGATTACGAACTCTGATCGTCTTAACTGGTGCATGAGTTTGTAAGGTGGATAATAGAGCGTCATTTAATATTGATAATTTTGAGTTCACCTCGCTGTTGTGTCTCGTGTTTGGAAACGAGGTCTGCTGTAAATAACATAGGGTTATAGTTTTTAAAACTACGCACAGTGATGTAACTTCGTGGGTGTTTAGGAAATTTTAAGTTCAGTACCATGTAAACCGAAAAATGGTCACTTATGGAGGTTTCAATAACTCCACTTTCCTGTACAAGATCCGGAGTCGAGGACATTACAACGTCTATTAATGATTCACTAGATTCAGTGATCCTAGTGGGTGAAGCAATCAATTGCTTGAGGTTCAATTCAGAAGCAAAATTCAGCAATGACAAACCGTCAATATTTTGTTGTAAAAGATTGCAATTTAAATCACCTATAGAATTATAACAGACTTATTGAGCGGTAAGGCGTAGGTCGAAGAATGCTTTAAAAAATCCTCAAAACAGGAAACATGACAGGAGGTCTATAAACAGCACAGATTACGAATGATCTAATCTTTTTATATTGAACTTGTAACCAAAGTTGTTGGTGAAATTGATGAACGATCTTCACATTTTTTTTAGAAATAAACATCTTCAGATTCACTGCAACTCCAAATTTGAGCTTGTTCGCTTTTTTGAGTATCGGCGGGGGGGGGGGGGATATATATCAAAATCGGTAGATATCAAATGAACATTATGACATATCGGTAGATATTAACTATAAAATGAATATAACTTGTGCTCACCTGTTTGATTTTGGACCAAATTTCACTCCACACAGTTCAATTGCCATTATTAATGTTGCCCTAAACGAATACCCGCGCGGAGATAAGAGAACTGATCGCATGCAATCGCGATTTGGAGAGTCGGATAATCAGGGTTCCCTTACCTTACAAAGATCAGAAGTCGGTTAAACAGATTGGAAGCAGCTTCTACAGCAGGGTTCTAAGATGCAACATTGGCTTGAACCCGTCTTTACAAGCAATAAGGTCAGTCGAAAGATTTTAAAACCTTAATGTGAGAAAAAGCCTTTTATTTGTGTGAACAATGCGTGGTGTATCGCTCCAAACGTGCTCTTTGCGATGCGGACCATGTGTGGTATACTTCGCGACGTCTTTACCAATTCGCTGAAAAGCATAACAGTGCGAGAACATCAACTGGTAAACATTTGAAGAATGCACATGTAATCCATATTATATTGTGGTTCAAAGGATCTGATAGACAATTTTAGTATCTTGTAAAAATCAAAATTGATTGTTTGGTTTATGAAATGTTATACATCAGAGAAGAAGTCGTATTTAATTAGTGGCAAGGCTTTTATAAAGGTTTCATAACTACTGTTGTAGTTATTCCAATTTGCAAGTAAGGCCTAATAGTAGTATGGATCCTATTTTTAACATGTCATTCGTGCTATCAATATGTAGCCATTGCCGTTTGTTGTTGTCAGTTTACTTTTCTCAGACATTCTCTATATATTGAACAGTTATATGCTAATTAGTAGTTAACTTTAAATTTCTTTAAGTCTTAAATTTCTTTAATTTCTCTAACTACTGTTAGTTGTTATTTCACTTTATAATGGCGTAAGATATACGTCGAAACGTCTTAGCAACTTTCTTATAATAGGTTTTAAAAAATTTGAAAAAGTTGTAAAAATATTTCCACAGGAAAAACTTATTTTTATCGTCTATTACTGTTGGCTGTCGACGAAACTTTTGTCATAATGGTTACAAATTAAAATAGCATTTAGTTGGAACGCTACTTGGGTGAAACCTGGAATCGAGTTTCCCGGTCTTTTTGCAGCGAACACCTGGCCATATTTCGTCTTCGAATTTTATTTACACTTCGTTTCTAATTGGTTTGAAAAGTTGACATTTTAGGGAAATGAGAATACAAGTCGAAGTAACAAAACCTTTTTGTAGAATTAGGTTTTGATTGTTTTCAGATGCTACAGGTTTTTTGGAATAGATGAGATATTGTTGTAATTTGGCGTATAAGCGTATTATGAATGCAAAATTTATACGGAGTACAAAAAGGGTCCAAGCAATTCGAGGTAATAGTCGAGCATTGCGGCAATGCAACCAGAAGCAGTGCATGTGTTAGTAGACGTTTGTACAAATTTTATTATGTTAGTTTTGATCCTTTGTTTTCCTGTATCTTGTCTCCTAGACAGAAATGTAAGGCTGAAAGCATGGGAAGGCTTACCTCCTGGTAACGACGAGAAGCCACCAGTTGAAGTAAAGAATATTTTAACACCAGTTTTCTTCCAGTCTGAAGATGGCATTAAGGCTTGGATTTGTTACCCTTCCACATCTATTCTCAAAGGGGAGATAATGACACCAAACTCACAGTATGACTGTAGAATTAAATTAAGAGCTGGTATGTTATTTAGCATAAAACATTCACAAGTTTAGTAAATGTGAAATTGGTAATTATGCTCCCTTACTTAATTGCAGGTTTACAGTTAGCAATGGCGTAAGGCCCGTTTCATCATGCCTGTTTTATTTGTTCAAATGACATTGTTTAGACCAAAATTACCGGTCCGTGTATTGCCGATGCTCTTTGGAGTACAATGGCACAACTTGCCCGTGCGATTATTTATTTATTACATGCGTGACAAAATTGCTTTCCTTAAAATTCAACTGCATTTTGTCAAGAGTTTTTAATTCTTTTGTAAGCAATTTGGTATAAACAAACTTCGGAAATGATCATAAACTCATAAAGGCACATAACATAAACTAGAACACAAGATTCAAACTCAAACAACATATTTTAGAGTAAGAAAATCTTTATATAAATTGTATTACAGACTTACATAGTCACGTTTCGCTGCATTCCGCCGAAATTATTTCTTAAAACTGTTTCCATGCAATATTTCCACAGGCTCTTTTTGCCACACTATGTTTTTTAAACTCATTCTTGTGCCAAAATTTAGTTAAATTCGTCCACATTTGTTATTTATACTGTACTAATTTAACTTTCTCGGCCATATTAAATTTTTGTTGTTTTGATTTCCCGCTCCCCCAGCCATCACGAAAATCTTTAAATGCACTCCCGCAGAGTGCAATTCATGAAATAATTGCACTCCTTTCAACCAATCAGATTGCAGTAATTTTGTCATGTATATAATAAAAGCTTTAATAGTTTGGCCTATTTAATATTGAGTACAGTGCATTGCGGTCGCCTCAGGCAACAAGTCAACAACTCATAGTTTCTTTAAAACTGTGGCAATTGATACACCAGGCGGAAATCTTAGGTTAAAGATGAAGAGCAAAGCCCAAATTCATTTAGACTGTTCTGAACATGTTGTATTGTAAACAACGAAACGTTAGCTAATTAAAATTTTTACTTTTATTATGTTTGGTTTTAAAGTTATTTGCTGGGTTTTAACTCATAGTTTTTCCATTTTTGTTGAATATCTTGCATTGTATTTATTTACCTAAACTATTTGAATAGTTCAAGTAATCATGATATTCACACAAATTTACATTCAACATGCAGTTATTGAAAGTTTAATCAAAATCATCCACCTTTCAGCGAAAACTTGCATTTCAAATCGAAAAAAAAATACAGGATATTGTTCCCCAGAAATTGACACGGATTCTTCCAGGCACTTCAATAAATAATGAAGTTGTTTACTATGGCGTCAAATCTCCGCCAAAATTCATGTTCGCATTTTCAACATCAATGTTTGTATTTTCAATATCAATGTTCGCATTTTCAACGTCAATGTTCGCATTTTCACAACATTGTTTGCATTCTCAATGAATTTTAAACCCAAAATTCATTGGTATTCGCACTTCGGGCATGGCCCATGATTCAATGCGCGTGGTTGGGTTTAAACCACGAATTTAGAGAATTCTCGACTGTGAAATCAATATGAATCCTATTCCAAACTCTGCTCCAACTTGCAGAAAGACTAAAATCATTAATACTTTGCAAAGGAACGCTCAACATAGAGTTAAGCTGTTTGTCTTCATCAATAATTCATTATAAATGTTTTCATCCTGAGAGAACAAAAATAATATGCTAATTCTCTTCAAACGAAATATGACGTAAGTTCAACACGTCAATGTTATTTTTGTTGAAAAAAAGCTAAACCTATGACAAACATGTGTTAATTGTTGCAAGTGGGCCGTATGGAAAGGTCTTCAACCCGCTTGGATTTGCATTTTCAAGCTTTAACCCCTCTAGAAACAGCAGTCTTCTCCCATTACCCGTCTGGAAAGATTGACTGATTAGCCCCCTTGGAAAGGGGGGGGGGGGGGGGGGGGGTTGCGTGTAATAAATGTACTCAATGGCCCAATACCGCGATGTCCGCGGTTCCTTTTATCCTTGAAATACGAACCGTTTATAGACCACAAGCTAAGTGCATAATGCACAAGATATATGTTCACACTGTATATAGAGATGTGTATAAATTCTTAGGAATTTATAGTAAAGTCTTTATTTTGATATGTTTTATCAGGTTGAAAGTCATTTCCAACGGATATAAAATCGAATATGTCGCTGTTTATATAATCACAGCTTGTATAAGGGTCATTGGGTTCGTGATATTAGCGCACACTGTCTGTTTTATATCGTGCAATATCATATTTATAAACACGACATATCAGTTTGATTTATTTTTATTTAATAATTCGCCCATATAAAATACTATTGTTTACATAAAAGGAAAGAAATAAAATAACTTATCGGGCTAGGAGTCCATTGAACCTTAACAGGCTTTTCGATTTAGACCCCTAGTTAAAGTGTTAGTATGTCTTTATGCCATACAGTAAATTGTGTATCGTATATATTACAAAACTAGAAAATACATGCATGCAGAAACCCTCGCCTTGCTGACAAAACCATTGTAATTTCCGAACATGAAGTATCTAAAGTAGTTGTCATGGTAACACGATAATTTTTTAAGAATATTCTTACAAATGAAAATTCGCCTAAAAATATCACTTTTAATTACAAAATTATCAATTTCCCAACATATATATGTTAGGTATGTTATTATACGTAATATAAGCCTCAATTGAAGGTAAAATTCAACCACAAACGCTTCGCAAAACGTTTTAAAGTGTTCTTTATAAAATTAAACTGCCTTTAACTAAATATGGCTTTATCGATAAACATTGAGTTTGCAATAAAATGATTTCAAATTTTCGCTTGCAAATAACTTTGCTTTCTTTTTTATTTAAAAAATTCAATATCATAAAAAAGGGAATCAATATTAAAGATACACTGAAATTATATGCTGTCTTGCTTAGTTGTTTCATATACGCAAAGGCCGTCGGGTTTTAAAGCCATTATAAAATCAATATTTAAAACAGAATTAACTTCGTTAACGTCGGCTCCCTTCTTTTAGCCGATTCTTTCGCCCTTTCTTTCTTGAAATTTACAAAATCTTGCAAAAATGCGAGCAAAAATGAAATATATTTGCCAGAAATTTATCAATCAAAGACAATCATCAAATCAAGAAATGTTTGCTATTTCGCTGTCGTCACGCAGTCGTTATAATGCAAACTTTAAATTGGACCAATCAGTGTCCGCTATTCATGACAGTCCGCCATATTTTTGAGATCAGTGAGGATGACCACCCACGCACAGTGACCCACGCCCGCGATATTTGATGAACTTTAGACTTCCCTAATGCTTTCGTTTCCCTGGGTGTAAATAGCCGGGGGGAATTAGTACCCTCGCACGGCGCGGCTCGGGGATGATTTAATGTAACGTGCAATAGATAAAGGTATAGCTATAATTGATTAGATAAGAAGAAAAGTTAAATTAACATGCATATAATTCTGTTTACATGAGAAGTGTTTTTTGTATTAGTTTATGTAGAAAATGCTTTTTTGATTTTTTCTTAAAAATGGGACGTGATGTTAAATCTATTAATTTATTATCAATGCTATTCCAAACGTCCACCCCTTTCACTGAAAGCGAGTGGCTGACGTAGTTAGTTCTTTGATATGGCTTGTGTAGTTTAGTCGAGTTTCGAGTATTGTTCAACCTCGTTCCCAGGGTATTTGCTCTTGTTAAGCAAAGACCCTGGTGGACGCTAGTCACGTGATCTGCTAAAATCTAGCAGATTTTTAATTAGCGTTGTTTTGTCAATCTGGGAGGGGTGGGAATGTAGTAGTTGACATTCGCCAGATGCATTAGTGTTGTATACTTCACTTTACATGTTTAATAAACATGATTTATACTGTTCTAAATTCGTACTCATCATGACAAGATTTCCTGCTATACTGAATGTCATCAATAATAAGTGCTGCGGTACATTTCAAGCGAGAAACTGGATCATATTTCACTTGCAAGGAAAACACTCCACACGCGCCTGGCTTGCGAAGTTGAGCACGCACAGATCGCTGTAGAAACATACATATCTGATATCTTCTACACCGACTGATCGATCAAACGGTATTTATAAGCGAACGATATGATATGGTTGTTTATAGTTGAAATGTATCCTGTCCGATATTCAAAACAAAGGATTTATTTTATAACGGGACCTTTGATTTCCCAACTGAAGTACTGAACATCGCCAACTGTGTATATAAAACAATAGTGCTGTTTTGACTGTGAATTAAGCACAGGATTAAAACCTGTTATGTAAAATTCCTTTTTATTTACATTGCTGAAACAGCTCAACGATCAAGAATGATATATATCGAAGTCTACAGTATTCTGTTATCACACGCCAAGACTCCTCGGTGCGTGAGGTACAACTTGAATATCTAGGGCTATATATGCACTAGACTAAATTATTTCATATATTGCAGTGAGCATTATGAATCTTATAAAGACCTTTGACATTGGTATTAATGCCCATTATTTGAAGAATAATCCAGCTTAAAATCCAGCTTCTTTCGACTTGTATATAAATATGCCGCTGTGAGTCATCAATATTTAAATCAACTTTAAGTCTTTAATCTTTATCGTATACCCCTATACTGTGTCGTAACTGTAATTGAAATTTTAGAAGTTTCACCAAACGATACTGGAGGCAAACAACCTATCTATCGATTCAGTATCAATAGGAACTTTAAAAGGCTTAATAAAACTCATTGAGTAATTCTATGAGCGAGACTTGGTGCGCATATACAGTTTATGAATTATGTATATATCTCTGATAAAACGTAGGGACACTTTGTATCAGATATAATAACAAATACTTTGCTAAACCTTTTCGGATATCATTCCTTTGCATTCAAGGTGGGAGGGTGAATGGCGATAGAATTTATAGGAGATTCTGTGCAATATCTTGGCTCAACAAACATGTACTCGTGA